ATTTTCTGTAAATTAAGTTCTGCTATCTCTAAACTGTTTTCATTTGTCCTTGCATCTGAAATCGATGTTAACATGCATTGGCTATCCGCTGAGAGTTTCACCACCAGTTTCTAATTTGTTTTGGGATATATTGTACTGCTTACCATCATTATTTGTTGACTTATGACTATTCTAAAATATATAAGGGACTAATTTTATAAGATGCTGAGGGGCCTCGTGCACTATCTCCAAATGGTACTATGGCATAACAACATAGATTTGGATCATTAATTTAACGTATACTTCCCCCCTCCCCCAGCCCGGGCTTCTCTCCAAAACAACTTGAAGGTAACCAGATCAGAGCCACTCTGTGGATGCAAGTCTACATTAATATAGAGGTGGTACGCTTATAATTTATGGTTAGACACAGTAGAAGAGTGTTTTACCATTATCAAAAAGCCAATGATCTTTTAAACTAGTATTTTCAGAGTTGATTACTATTATCTATAACTATTCAGAGTAATTAAAAACATATGAATGAGCATAGTTTCAGCACTCAAACTGCAGTAACAATACCCTGCAGTGACTCTGTATACTAGCCATATGGCTCTAATTAAGGCATCTTAGTATTAGTGTTTGCATACTAGAGAAACAGATACGCCTTGGACGATAATTTAGTCTTCCTCTTAATTGTGCCACTTTATTCCATAATTAAGGATATCTGCACATCCTAACTGTGCTTTTCCACTTTTAATATCTACCATTTTATTTTAGTGTGACAAATATTTGAATTTGGTGTAATTGCAACAGTTAGGCAAGGAGCTTTGTGGCACACTAACTCTGCAATTCCAAACCGGACCCCTGTCGTCAGCCAGCTTCTGCCAGGAAACTTCCATGATCTGGGTTTGTTTCGTGTCAGATAAGAATATTTTAGTGAAAAATAAGCAAGCATTAGCACACAGTATTATCAAATAACAGTTGTTTTTTCTTTTGACTTTTCTGGTCCTCATCAGTCGATTCTGGATGCTCTGTTTATTTGGGAGAAGTATAAAACCCCTTGATCATATTTAAAATGGCTTAAATAATGTTTGAAATATCCAGAACTGCAAAAGGAACTTGAGGGCTTTTTCTCTCCATTTCCCTACCTACTGTCTTTACGTTTCTCATCTTTCCATGTTTCCCTATTCCTTCATCCTTTGTGTTTGCCTCACACGAATACAAATGATGTTTTGCATGTCTTCCCTGCAGCTCATATTCCTTCCATCACAGCTATGCTGTTTTCACTGCCAGGCTTCTTTTCAGAGCCCTACTTTTTACATACTGTCTTTACTACTGAGACGTAAAGGAATAAGTAAGTTTTGAAAATTAATATGTTCGACTAATATGCATGGTTTTCTCCTTCTATGGTCAAATTGCAATGTTGTCTGTTTGCAGTAGTCAATGCATATCGATGTCAGCCTTACAGAATTCTGTACATTCTCCTTGTTCAAAATGGCTGCTGGTTTCCATTGTATAGCTGCCTGTGCTGAATTTAAAGTTCTTCCTGCTCTTTATTAACTGAATAATTATGGCAACTAACACAAAGTTCTCATTAATAACGTTATTAATTACAATGTAAGCATTTAATTAAATACATGATTAAGAATAATGCTAGCTGTTTCTAAAAGGTCTTACCTACACTGTTAAGAATCTTCAAGTTCTGCACAAGCTCCTCATGATCCTTAGATTTTCTGTGTATTAGATGTTAATATAAATGGTAAGTTTACTATTATACTAATGAAAACATCTCTTTATATGGAGTTCTTTGTTAAAGTTTCTTCCCTAGAGCTTCATAGACTTGTCTTAATATTCAGTACTCCCATTTACCAGAGATTGGTGCACACAGCTCTGACATGAATATACTTCATAAGAATATATACTAATTGTTGGTGCATACTTGAAAATAATATTTGAAGACAGGAACTAAGGAATTTTTATCTACCTGAGACAGCTGGGAAAACTTTAAAAAGAAAAATCAATTGGTAATTTGCATTAAATATTTAAATTGAACTTTTGTTAGGACTAAAATATAAACCTGTATTCTAAAACTATAATAGGCACCTATCAAAGACAATGGCCAAACCTTATTTTCCACAGCCCTGACTTTTTCTTTAATGCTTTTGATTAGAAGAAGTTCTGAGACAATGCCCAGCTTTGTACTGAGAGGAAACATTGGCGTCCAAGTCCCAGGACTGGGATGTACTTCTGCATGACTCACTGCCAAGTTGCACAGCAGCTCAGGTGCTCTTAAGAGTACTGTTCTCACCAACATTCAGCTGCAAGTGCTGAAAACCAAGCAGAACCAGTGAAATTTGCAGGGTATTTGCTGTCTTCTGCAGTAGAGCCAAGTCCAGACATGAACTCCAGCCCTGATTCTGCCTTATGCTTGAAGCTATGCTAGATCAACCTTTTTGTTTTCTTAAGCTGTCTTGGTGGAGGTTTTTGAAGAAAGCAGGATGTGTTGTGAAGTACACACAAGCTGTATTCTCACATAAGCCATGGCCTCATACATTAAATTAGAAGAGTTTCCCTTCCCCATAGCTGTTTTGCTGATCTTGTTCAAATTTGGATTTTTCCCTTCTGTATCTGGAAAAACAACTTCTGAGTCGAAGTGCCAGCATAGTATCCTTGCTACTAAACCTAAATTAGACAAATCTTCTATTTAAGCAGGTAAATGTATGGCTGTGGCTTCTGTATTTTTAATTGCACAAAATGTCCCAAAACATTAAAATGCCATCGTGGAACCATCTTTCAAAGCATTGTTGCTGCTGGTGGTGAATTATTACTACTAAGAAAATCAATACTGGAATATGATTTTTCAGCATGCAGGTGCCTGGCTGATCCACTGCTTAAATAAAGACATAGGTCTAAACTAAAGTCAGTAATAGCAGGAAGTATCAGCCGATGTATTTCAGGACAACAGCAAAAAAAAAAAATAGATTCCTTTGAAATCTGGGGCAACATGCCACATGTATAACTCTTTATGAGGATTCAGGGGGTTTTATTCCTTTTCTCCCATTACCTGGAATGCTCCTGTGAGTGAATAAATGCCTTGCTCTGTTTATATGTTGCCTTAAAGAACTTGCTTCCTGTTGCACTCACGAAAATCCCCAAACAGATAGCTGAGGATCACTAAGAGAAGTAATAATGCAGTGTGAAGATATTTGTCCTGGGTCTCAAGATTGTTTTTTATGTTAGAGGTGACATCAGATATTTGTAGGAAGGACTCAGAGCACCTTGTTTCCTCCTTTCTTTTTTCTTTGAGATGGTTTTCCTGGTGCAGCCTCTGCAATAGGAGAAGGGATTGTCTACTTGCCCTGGAGTCCTGCCCCTCATTATGAAGACTGAAATGTGGGAGTGGGTTGGGGGCTTATCCAAATTCATTCAGTTTTAGTCTGCTTCAGGACTCTATGTAAGTGAGCTTCTAGTTTGAGCAGGTAAGGTGCTGGGGACAAAAAAGAACTCTGCTAAATGGCAAGGGCTGGATGCAGCAGGGGCTGGAGGCAGCAAGAGAAGCTGGAGAAGGAAAGGGACTGGAAGAGAAGGGAACAATCTAGACTGAAACTGAACCTACCAATCGAGCCTGCCTCCAGTGTATTGCTGAAACAAGCAATAGGGAGGTCACTATTAGCGTTATGGTTAGTCAGGGGCTGGTTCCCAGGTTTCTGGGGTTGGTGAAGCAGTGGGACTGTATGTGAAGGGATATTAAGCTGTTATCAGACACCTTTTCTGTCTACTAGCTCTTTCTGCTGCAAAAGTATTGCTATGGAGATAAGCAAGGGAGTACCCTAGAGCAACAGTGATAGGACCTCCTCTTTCTATTAGGCTTTCTATAGCCCCAAGAGAATAAAAAGAGCTTTATAAATGGGGAAGAGTCTATTCAGTTAGTGTATTCCTCTTATTGTGACTGGAGTCACCAGAATGAAAGTAAAAATTATCAAAAGTTTTAAAGGTGGTTATAATTTCAGTGATGCATCCTGCTCAGTACTGTAAATAATGCTAGTACAGTTATTTTGCTACTATGACAGTAATATTTACTCTTAACATGCTGGGTGAAAAGAGGAGAGTACTGCAATGCAGTCTTGCAGCTGATCTATTTTCCTCAGATTATTCTGTGTAAAAAAGAACTCTTTTTGTGAAATTATGATGATAAGAATATTGATGAGAAGTTGATTAAGCTATGGCACATCATAGTTCCTGATTAGATAACTCAGGCAGAAACTGAAAACCCAAGAATTTTTACTGCAGCAGTAAATGCTTATTCAACCAGCAGTAACCAGCAAAAACTCCCAAACTGGAGGAGGAAAGATTAGTTTGCACTTTAAAGGATTCAGAATGTGGCAGTCAACATAAAAAAGGTAAATACAAGGTAGCAGAAATCTGAATACTTGCTAGGAAGTAATGTAAGTGGGCACATTCTGCAAATATATGTTAATGGTGCAAGCTACATGTGCCATAAAGTGGGCTGCAGACTATGAAAATATTTCATTTCTGACTCAGTGTATTATAATTTGTTGGTGGTGAGCTAAATTTAATGTCCATAAGGCCCCTGGTGATAGACCTCCTTGTTATCCAGTGACTGTTGAACAGCTGTTAAAACATATTTCAATGTATTTGCAGAGTGCAGATGCAGTTTGCAATCATGACTTTCAGCTGAGGAATTAGAACAAGTTGGAAAAAACAACTTAGAAATGGTCAGAAGAATAATTCTGAATAAGGAATTTTTTTTTAATATGTTAAATGTAACAGTCTGTAAATAGAGCAAGATATGAAATTTGTCCTAGGAAACACATTACTTCTGACTGATCTGGTCTCAGAGAGGAGATTTTGGCAGTACTAGCCAAATGATACTCTGTGGGCATGTTTCCAACAGGAGAATCCAGTGTTAGCTGGAAAGAAAATCCTGGAAGCTTCTGGCTGGGCCCTGGTTGCACTTAATTGCCCTGATGTGCCTCACCTGCCCCTGCCCAGGGGCCAGGAGACCCATGTAAGTGTGGGCGGGGCTCTTTAGCCTGTTCACCATGACCTGCCTGGTGGTTCAGTTAGCCCTACACTGTCATGTGTCCTAGGATATAAGGTAAAGGGGGAGGCTTAAAAGGGGACTTTTTCACTTTAATTTTTTGTGTTTTTTTTTTTTTTTAAACTCATGCTGGTAGGGTCATTGTGGGATAGCAATAGACAGATATTCTTGTGGGGAAAGAAGAACTGGTATGGAAATAAAGCAAAATCTTGTCGCGGTTTAAGCAAGCGAGTTGTATAAATACTGACTAAGGTACCCAGGCTGCTGCTCCTAGCCTTGTGACCATTGGGTAATTGCAGGGGTTTCTGTTTGTTCTGCTCTAGGGTGCAGCACAACTCTGTTGAGACCTTCTGGTTCCTTGTACCCATTGTGGGGGGTCAGATGGGGAAACCATTTCTCCTGGGATGTTTGGCACCATGTGCTGTCTGTCTCATGCTGAAAGAGTCTTGTAGCTAAGTTAACTTGGAGCTCCTGAGGACTCCCTGCACCCGGGGGTTGGAAGCAAGAGCTTGAATTGTTCACTGCCACATCAGCTGGGGTTATCTCTAATATGCTGCTACTTGTACCGGGGGAAGGAAAAATTTGGGTATTGTCTTGTGAGACAGAAATTCTGTACATTCCTTGACTCTAGTGACTTAAACTGGCTGAGGACTTGCAAAAGCAAACAGCCTGGCATGGAAGTCTGTAGTGGAAAGCCTTTCTTTTAGGTGATTTTTATTTGCTCCTTTGTCCATTGACTTTTTTTTCTTTTTCCTCTGAGACTGGTTAAAGAATATTGGACTACTTTTTATTCTGTCACTGAGATTTTGCATGCATTTCAACTGGTTATTTCTATACAATTTATTCATAAAATTACACTATGTGCATGCCTGGGTTTCTGAAATATCATTGTCAACATCAGTAATTTATTTAGGATGGGAATGCTGTGCTTGTGTACTTAAGAACTATGCTACTGTAAATAATAAGAACTAAATTTGGTTGTTTTTATTGTTTTATGCAGAGCAGTGAATAAACATTAAAAGAAATAAGTAGCAGCAGGATAAGAAAAAGGGAAGGACTGAATGTAGAGGAGATTGCTTAATTAAAATCTGTGAGAGCCTCTGATTTCTTTGATGTTTTAAATTGCATTGAGCTGCAATGTAATTTAATTTTGAAGACATTTAAGTAGTCCATTCTTGAGTATTGACTGATTATCTTTTGCTCCATATATTAAAATTGGAATAACCATTTACCTTACTGTTGGAAAACTGAGTTCTGCAGCACAGCTTCTGCTTTTAAAAAATATTTTCAATCAGTAATCAAGACAACAGCAGTTACTGTGAGTTAATGGAATAAAATTTGAATGGCTGCAGAAGGTTAATAGAAGTGCAGTTAAATCTTGCACCAGAAGTAAGTCTTACATGAGCTATTACTGCACATCAGGAAAGTGTTCAGCAGCCCTGAATTAACTCTAAATTTCCTTGCTCATTTGATTTAGATTTTTCTTGCTGCTTTGCACCTAGATAAGTATGTGTAGTACCTCTGAAATCGAGTTGTGTTGGCATAGTTTTGACTCCCCTTGACTGATTCTAGGGAATCTTGTTTTGCTTGGTTCTTTTCATTATCCCCTCTGATGTCTCATCCCATCAGAAAACTCACTGATCATCCTTCTGTAAATGGGTTATAACAGCTTGGCCTGAATTTGCAGATGATGTTTGGACTTCTGCTTTTGTCAGCTAAAACGTTAGCTGTCATGTGTTTGTCATCACTGAGTCTCCATGATCTTCTGTTGAGGAGTCTCAGGTCTGGGTTATACCGAGTAGCTGGTGGTGATGGAAGTATCCTTTAGGAGGAAGGGGGGAATCACCCTAGTGACAACAAGGAGCACTGAGGAGTGTGCTCGGGCCACCTGATTTCAGCCCCTCTGCCCCCTGTATGGTCTTATCATAGATGGATGCAATCTCCTCCTTCTGTGGCAGGAGTTTCCTGGGACATGTGGTTTGTCAAACTGTGCTGGGAAAGCATACCACACATCTGGGGCATAGATCAAAGTATTTACATTACTGTGCTATTTTACCTATACACGCATGCATAAGGGAGCAAACTAGGTCAGTAAAAATCTGGGAGTATAGCACTAGCTTTTGAGAAAAATTATTTCAACATAGCTAATTTGCCATATTCATAACTGAAATTTAGAGCTCTGAAACGTTTTTATGTAGAAAGTAATGACTGTTCTTTTACTTTCAGGACTTATCTATTGGAATTAATAATTGTCCTGGGAAATTCTCTGTTTCTTGAATAGGAAAAAATGTTGTAAAAGCAAGCTTATTTTCAGGCCGTTAATCATTCAGATCAGGTACTGCAGCATTACAGCTACAGGTTCTTGTTATCTGTGGACCAGCTGTATGTTTTTCTGTCTGAATTAGACTTACCTCCTTCAAAATTAATCATAGAATGGTTTGTGTTGGAAGAGACCTTTAAAGGTCACCTAGTCCAAGTTTGCTGCAATGGGATCTTCAACTAGATCATATTGCTGACCGCCTCATTCAGCCTTGCCCTGAATGTTTCTAGGGATGTGGGTCATCTACCACCTCTCTGGGCAACATGTTCCAGTGTTTCCTCACCTTCTTTGAAATAAAGTTCTTCATTATATCTAGTCTAAATCTATACCCTTTGCTTTAAAACCATTGCTCCTTGCCCTATCACAATATGCTCTTCTTAAAAGCCCCTCCTCAGATTTCTTGGAGTCCCCTTTAGGTACTGGACGCTGCTCTAAGGTCTCCCCAGAGCCTTCTCTTCTCCAGACTGAGCAACCCCAACTCCCTCAGCCGTTCCTCATACAAGAGGTGCTCCAGGCATCTGACCATTTTGTGGCTCTCCTCTAGACCTGCTCCAACAGGTCCATGTCTTTACCCTGCTGAGGGCTCAAGAGCTGGATGCAATGCTCCAAGTGGGCTCTCACCAGAGCAGAGGAGAGGGAAGAATCTCATCCCTTGGTCTGCTGGTCACACTCCTTTTGATGCAGCCCATCAAGCCCACCAAACACTTGGCCTTCTGGGCTGCGAGCATACTTTGAGAGGTCATATCCAGCTTTTCATCACTAGCATCCCCAAGTCTAGAGGTAACAGCAGGGCTGCTCTCAATCCCTTTGTCCCCCAGCCTGCATTGGTACCATGGGTTTCCTTGACCTGGGTTCAGGACCTTGCATTTGGCCTTGTTGAACCTCATGAGATTCACATGGACCCACTTCTTAAGTTTGTCCAGGCCCTTTGGATTGCATTCTGTCCTTCAGGTGTTTTCAACTGCACTACTCAGTTTGGTTGTCTGAAAGCTTGCTGAGGGTGCGCTGGAGCTCACAATTGATATTGCTGATGAAGGTATTATAGAGTACTTGTCCCAGCAAGGCCCCTGCGAGAAACCACTTTTCACTGATCATCATCTGGACTCAATAAATTGTGGCTTTTTCTGGTTTGTACCTCTTGTAAATATTCACTTACCCCCCCCTTCACACTAAACTATTTTAATTTTCTTTGACGCTAAGATATCCTGTTATTTAGATGTTTGCTCCGCTGTATTATGGCTGTTAGCCCTTTACTGCATGTTTTGTAGATTGTCTGCCACAGCTATTTTATTCAGATAAAATTGTTTTATAGCTGGAGCTGTTGCTCAATAAATGTGGTTCTCATGTTTTTTCATGGGATTCCAAATTAATTGGATCTGCAATCTAACTTCTCCAATGTTTAAAATTCTTATTGGGCAATGTCTTAGGGACTTTCCTGTTTGTTTGGAGCTAATTAGGCCCGTGCATTAATTACAGTTGTGAATTCTGGCATGTTCAGAACATTGGTGTATACTCTAGAAATAAAAATGCCAGAAAAACACTTAGTATTTTGAACATACTGATCTTAATGAATGATTCCCAGTCTATGAAAGTGTGAGAGGCTATTGTTTTAAGCCTTAAAAAAGTTGTGCAGTATCCAGCTGTGGTAATAATTTTGGAAGCTTTCAAAATTGATCATTTTACTATACACAACAGCTTGAGCTGATGCAAAGTGTGTTTAATTTCGTGAAGCTACTGTGCTTGGAAAGTCTTAGAAATTTGTTGTCCTGCTTGCAAGAAAAATAGATCCAATGTGTATGTTTTCTCCTAAGTTGTTTTTTACAAGATTCAACAATAACAAATGATCTTGAAGGTGCTTATAGAAGGATTAATCCGTAGCAGTTCTGTAAAAACTGAAGCACCTTAATTTTCTCATTGTTTTCTTTTTGATAGAGACAGTTGCTATATACTGTAGGATTTTTACAAGGAGCTACTGTAGTGTTACTCCATCAGGCACCTAATGAATACTGACCTTTGATCCATGAGATGAATGTTGAAGTGGAATGCTCACATGGTAAAGAATCCTGGAAAGATCCTTAAACCTATTCCTAACCTTCAAGTTGATTTTTTTGGATGAAATAGGTTAAAAAAAACATGGCAATAGATTGCTTGGGTATTGTGGTTCATGCAACTGCACCTCTTGTTGCTCCAAGTAAGCAAGCCAAGGGACTTTGATGTAAAGGGGAGGGTTCCTGGCAGTTTCTGTAGAAAGGAGAGTGGGTCCAGTGTGAGGAGATGGTCTTTTCTGACAGATGTGCTTTATGTTGATGGAGAAATTGTATTTTGAAGAAACACAGAACTTATTACTGTGCTGTGTTGATGTGAATTAGGGTAAGATGAGCACCACCGGAAGATAAATACATGGGCCCTCTGACCTCTGAAGGAAGTCTTTGGATTAGTTTTTGACATAAGTGTATGCTGGGGAGAAAAGGGGTGACTGAGGAGTCTTATGCAAGGCTAAGATGACAATCTGGGCAGTGGCTGCCACATGCATGATACAGGTCAGGGGAGGGGCATGTGTGACCTTTCACAAGGTGCAGCATGGATGGGCCTTCCTTGCCAAGAAGGAGGAGTACAGATATGGCAGGCTAATAACCCTTGTTACTTGGGCACATGAGCAGCCCCATCTTCACCTTTTGGGAGCCTTAGTTTCTAGCTGAGCTTCCAGAACTGCAGTGGCTTGTGCCATGCTTATGTC